CAGGGCATCCTAGATTCGGGTTCTTCTCCTTAAAGTACTGCAGTCTACTTGAGCAGACAGTAGTTAAATCGATGTGTTAATGCAGCAAAACAAGTATTAAGTACTTCAAAGCAACAACAAAAGAAGTGTCACAAGTGTCACAAGGCAATGCCTTGTTGGGGTGTAGTCTAGGCAGACCACACGATCCTCCATTTGTCCTGCGTATCTACCTACCTACCCACCATTTATCCATCCATCCATCCATCCATCCATCCATTGATCCTCCATTTGTCCTGCGTATCTACCTACCTACTCACCATTTATCCATCCATCCATCCATCTTCTCTCTGACTTACTCACTTTTTGCTCTCATTTATACAACAAAAACATATTGAGGTCTGCTCTGGGCTGGCAGATATAAGGGCAAACACTGTTCCTGTCCTCTAGGAACCAACGCAGCTGGTGAGAGCATTTGTCCCACTTTATCTGAGAGACTGATGGCAAGAGTCTCATCTATCCCTTCACCTTTGTCAGAAGGGGAGTCCTGGACAGTTGAGAGTGCATTGTCCATCTTGTCTACCAATGGCCCATGGCACAGGTCCTGGCATATAGCTAGAGTGCCTAAATATGTGTTAAATTGAACTGGCTTGGGTATGGCAAGAGGTTGGACAGTCCAGGCTGGTGAAAGAGGTTTGGAAGAGCTTAAGAAAAAGTGGTGACTGGCATACGTTAAAATAGAACTTAGAAGAACTTTTGATGGAAGCAGAAAATAGAATCCCATCTTTTGGGTCTCATTTCCTCTCAGGTTTCCGGTTGAGGAATGTGTCCGTGGGGTTCTCATTCTCCTCCCTCCTGCCCCATGGATCTGAAATGCAGCCACATGTGATGCATCCTTGGTGATCCTATGTGACAGCTTAGGTAGGCGTAGAGCTCAGGGTCTAGACCAGAGCAGCTCTCTCTGGATGGGTGACCCTTGGACTGGATGCAACCCCTCACAGGGCAGCCTATGCAGGTTCCTTAGAAGTTGCACTGCCCCCCGCCTCCAGGCTGACTTGTCTGTTCTCACAAAGCTGCCCTTTCCTTCCTGCCTTGAAATCTGATAATGAAACGAATACTCAATATTTTTGCCTCCTTAGAGAGGCAGGAGATAAACAGGAAGACATGAGGGATTAAGGTGTCTCTCCCAGGAAGGGGCTGGGGACAGGCAAGGAGCTGGGTGACATCTCTGTGTGGAGCCAAGAGATCCAGATGTGAGCTGCTTTGCCCGATGCATTTTTCCATTTGTGCAGTGAAAATAAAACAAAGAGAAAAGAAAACAAGCTGTAAAATACTTTGCAGAAGGTTGAACGTGGGCAATTGCCAGTTGATGTCCTCTGACAGCTCCAAGTGGGGGAGAGAAGGGAGGCCTGCCTTTTGATGTGAGGGCCTCCGAGTTTTCTTTTGTGTGACCAGTTGTTTGGGAAGAACCTTTTGTTGGCGCAAGGTGCATATGGAAGAGAGATACCAGCCCAAGGTTTCCCTTGGGGTATAGGTGGGGGCTGAGCTTCTGGGAGGGGCTCAGAAGCTGGGTGGCCCTGTTGGTGAAATGGAGGAAAGCTGGAGCTGTTCTCACGGAGGACAAAGGATTAGCATCTGCCTCCAAGAAGGACCAAGAAGATGCCGTTACTGAGGCCTTTCCCAGTATGAGAGAGGCCTCAGGAAGTGAGGCCAAGGTGATCTTTCCAGATCCTTGTCCCTGGGCAGTTGTGCCAGGCCCTGTGACTTCTCTGTTAGTAGGTAAGATCCAAATTCCAGACTATAGTCTGGGCCCAGCTGTTCCTTTCAGTGATATGGGTCCTTTCCTCTGGGGCACTGGACCATGAGCCAGAAGACCTGTATTCCAGTCCTGCCACTCCGGCCCCTGCCCAATTTACTGGCTCAGTGGTCCTGGGCTAGTAGGTCAGTTCACTCCGCTGAGCAGCCACCTATCACCCTAGACTGGCTGAGTGAGTCCAGAGGGACAATGAACTTGTGTATGTACAAGGGTCCTCTGTGCTAATAGGCAGAGTGTGTCTGCAGTTTCTTTCTTTGTACAGTTGAGCTCAGCCCCCAAGGGCTGGAGGTGCTGAGGGATGCTCATAAGGCTCTCAGGAATCATTCTCTGGCCTAATATGGAGTCTGGCTGCTTCCAGACGTAAGGTGTGCCGAGTCTTCTCTTCTCCCCACAGCACTTCCTCTAAAGTATTTGTCCATCTCTACTTGTAAATTAAGTGACTAATAGGTGTGTGATTTGGAGGGTAACTCCAGGAAGATCATTTAAAGAAGCTTATAACACCAGAGAGAAAATTAGGCAAATAGTTTTCTTAAAACCACAAAAGTAATATATGAATAAGAAACTGGTAAAAATATTTGCAGCTTGTATGGTAGGAAAGACAAATGGGTTTTAATCCATCATATATAAGAGCACTAGACATCATGGAAAAAAAAACACCCCACGTTATTTGAAAACTGGGCAAATGGCATGAACAGGCAATGCACAAAAAAAGAAATATAAATAGAAAAACAAACACATGGAGAAACGTCCAACCTCACTGGTAATCAAAGACATGCAAATTAAAATCATGTGTGTATGTTTTCCAGACGAATTGGCAAAGATTAAAAAAAGAATGCTGATACCAAATGAATATTGTTATTCTTTTCAAGGGTGTGGCGAAATAGGAGCTCTCGTATCCTGCTGATGGGACACCCTTTCTTGAGGGCAATTTGGCAATTTGGATCCCGAGTTAAAGACACGTAGACCCAAAATTTAACTACCAATTCTGTCTTGAGATATTTACTGTACAGCAGCCCTCAGAGCAGAGTGTAAATACGTACGTTCAAAGGTGGCTACCATTGGGTTGTTTACAATAGTGAACAACTGGAAACAACCTAACCACCCAACCCAGGGAGGCCCTGCTTTTAAATGCACCCACTGCGGATCCAACAAGCCCATTACATAAATCCGTACCATGGTAGACTAGACAACCTTTCAAAATTATGAAGAATTATGTTACCTGACACTAAAATATGTTCACCATTATGAGAAAATAGGCTACAAACGTGAGATGTACAAGTGCAATCCATGTCTGTAGGAAAGAATTAAATAGTTTCACAGCTGAACAAATGTTAATTAAAGCCTGTGAGGAAGAACCCCTGTGTTAACAGCAGTTGGTGGAAATTTGAGTGCAATTTTTCCTTTCTGTTTTTGTTTTTCAAGTGTCTGGCATTAAACATGTATTTCTTTAGAAATTACATAAAACGCAATTTGAAAGAAGCTTAACACACAAGTAGGGCAAATCGTGTTACAGTGAGCAAAATTAGGCTGGATCTAAGCTGGAATTATCCTGGTGTTAGAAGCCTAAGGAAAAAGGCAGGTAGCATGAGTCACAGTGTGGTGTGATGAGGTCTGTGTGGGGGCCATGCTGGATGCCTGGGGAACCCATAGCCCCTTGTGCCTAAGCCAGGCTGGCGGGAGGTGAAAATGGGCCTGGAAGTGACACTGAAACCAAGACATGGAGGATGAGAAGGATGCAGACAGATGAGGAGTGGGCTCGGGAGAAGAGGATCCTAGGAGGCAAGGAACAGCATTTCCAAAGTCACAGAGAGGGCAGGCAAGGGTTCCTCACCCAGGGCATGCCCTAGGGACTGAAGCACAAGAGTGAGAAGGGGAAGCAGAATCAGCTTATTCAGAGCCCTGAAGGCTGTGTGAAATGCTTTAGATTTTATCCAGAGGAAAAACTGGGAGCCACTGAAACATTTTCAATAGGTTAACAGAGGCTCTCAGATTGGTATTTAGAATTCCTACTGTGGTTACAGTTTTGAGAACAGAATAGAGGGCTCAGCTCAGAAGGACCAAGGCCTGGTAGGGTGGAGAGGAGTGAATGGATTTGGGGGAGGTCCCTTTGGGTCCAAGTGGAGACCCTAGAGTGGGAGCTGGAAATACGGATTTAGGAGTGAGGAGCGCAGAAGCAGTCCTGCTGCCATGAGGGGTGAACAAGGCCAACCAGGAGAGCATCAGAGCAGAGGGGAAAGGGTGCTGAGTCCTGAGGAGAATGTAGGGAACAGGTAGAGGGGAGAAAGAGTGGGCGGGAGGATCCAGAGAGGAGGATGCTGAGGGCCCTCTCCAGAGGATCCAGAAGCCAGCAGCGTGGGAAGTCGCCCAAGTGGGTGGTGGGTAGGAGGGTGGTGCAGCAGGCCCCAGCAGCCTCAGTGGCACAAGGAGGAATGGGAAAAGGAGAGCACAGCCTGGTGGCCAGAGCTCAAGGGAGTGGGGAGTGTGTGCAGGTGGAGGTGGATGCCTGGAAGCAGCGCATGAGCCTGCTCGGCTGCTGTAACAAAGCACCACGGACCTGGCAGCTTAACCAACAGTCATTTATTTCTCCCAGTTCTGGAGGCTGGAAGTCTGAGGTCAAGGTGTGAGCAGGGTTGGTTTCTCCTGAAGCCTCTCTCCTTGGCTTACAGGTAGCTGCCTTCTCCCTGTGTTTTTGCATGGTCCTTCCTTTGGACTGTGCACCCCTGGTGTCTCTATTGTGTGTCCAAATTTCCTCTTCTTGTGAAGACACCAGTCAGATTGGATTAATGACCTCGTTTTAACTTAATCACCTCTTTCAAGGCCCTGTCTCCAAACACAGTCACATTCTGAGGTCTTGGGGCTAGGGTTTCAGCAAATGAATGCAGGTGGGGGAATACAGTTCAGCCCATAGCAAGCAGGATTTGGGCACAGGGAGGATGCCACCTCCACCTCCCAACTCTGAGGAGTGTAGAGTTGAGGGAAATGAACAGTCTCTACCTGAGAGGTAGCAAGAACCTCAGCCATGGTTCAGGTACTGCCAGGTGGTTAATAAGTGCTTATGGATGCAAACTGGGGAACCAAGGAGAAGCTCCCAGAGAAAAGACTGCCTCTCTGTCCTGCAGTGGAGAAGAAGGGGGCTGTTGGTGGACAGGGTCTCTTGGGGCCCCCACGAGTGCCCCTCCCCTGACACCTCTCCCTGCCTCCCCCACAGCCTGCAATTGCAACCTGCATGCCCGGCGCTGCCGCTTCAACATGGAGCTCTACAAGCTGTCGGGGCGCAAGAGCGGGGGTGTCTGTCTCAACTGCCGCCACAACACTGCCGGCCGCCACTGCCACTACTGCAAGGAAGGCTACTACCGCGACATGGGCAAGCCCATCACCCACCGGAAGGCCTGCAAAGGTAGGCGGCGCGGCCGGGCTTTGGGAACACTGCCCTTCCTCTCTTTTCTCTGTGCTTCTCATTTTCTTTTTATATTTTCAAGGCCACTTACAAATCAGCATAGACTGAGATAACTAACTCTCTCTCTCTCTCTCTCTCTCTCTCTCTCTCTCTCTCTATCCTCTCTCTCTCTCTCTTTCTCTCTCTCTCTCTCTCTCTCTCTTTCTCTCACCCACGGCCTCCTTGGTATTCTGAGGCATAAGCTGAAACAAAGGGGCAATGGAAAAAATGGCTCCAAGGAGAAGAAAGGAAAAGGTGTGATCTTTGTGCAGGCGCAGGGCTCTGGCTTGCCACCCCCGCCCCGCCCCCTCCCAGCGTCTGTCCCTCTGCACAGGTGTGCCGCATACCACAGGGCGGGGGTCATGTTCACCAGGCTTATGTCGGCACAAAGGACTCTCTTTTACCAAAACCAGGCAGACGGATTTCTTTGGATGTGTGCGCGCCTCCCGCCCCCTGGCCCCCCGACACTCACACAGACACAGACACGCACAGTTGCAGCTTCAGGGGCAGGGGCTCAGAAGGAACATTTAATCCACCTGCAAATAGCTTTACTTCTCAGGACAAAAAATTAAAAGGAGACCGGAGACTCTCTTTTCGTTCACTGAAGCAAGCACTAATATTTTAACTTTCTGTTGTTTGTTTTCTCCCAGTAACAAAAATGAAGCAATGATGAGATGATTCAGAGGAGCTGATGAAATGCCAGGAAATTTAGTGACGTTGGGGAAGGGGGAAAGTGCCCCCCCACCCCCACCACACACATTAGCTTTTAGGAATTCCAAGAATCAGAGCTCTTTTGGGTTCAGAATTTGGGGCCCAGTGCCTGGGCTTGCTGTGAACATGGCTCCCCAAGAAGATATTATCTCTGAGGGCTCTTGGGCCACAATCTAGCATGGACGGAGTCCTGACACAGGAGAAACCCAAGCCATGGCAGGTTCAGGCCCAGATGATGAGCTACAGTAGATAAATCCCTCTGTAGCCAAAGTATCATCATCTTAACAGGAAATCCACCAGATGTTGGGCACTTGTGCACCAGACTGATTACATAATTTGCAGGCCCCAGTGCAAAATGAGATATGGGGCTTCTTGTTCAGGAATTACTAAGAATTTCAAAATGGCAACAGCAGAGCTTCACTAAGCACATGCCCTTATGAGTGCAAGGCCCATGAAGCCAGCTCTGCTTGTATGGAACACCAAAATAAAAAACAAACAAACAAACAGAACAGTTCCCGGTCTGTATCTTCAGGAGAAATCTCTTCCGTTCCAATGAACAGGGAGGGTGGCTCCCAAGATACAAGCAAGCTTCCCTTCCAGATCTATGGACTTAAGGCTGCCTCTGGTGGTTGTCTAGAGAAATTTAAGCATAAAGGTCTTTGGGCTATTTCCACATCAAAAAACAACTGATTCAGGTGAGAATTCCTCAGAGACTTTGAACAGGGACTGAGAAGGTGGTACCGGGGAAGGGACCCAAGAAATGCCTGCAGTGGCAGGAAGGCGTGAGCAAGGACTTGACCAGGGAGAGAGGACTTTGGGTTTTTAGAAACGTAATTAGAAGGTATTCCAACTCATTTGCCTGTGTCCAAGTGTTCATTGTCTTTTATTTACAGAAAAAATTGAAACCAGGGTCTTGTAAACAACATGTTGCTCATAGATTTCTTGGGGATTTGGCCCAGAAATGTTAATCAACAAGGGCCACTCAGGTGGCTAAATGAAGAACTCTGCCGAGGTAGGGAGAAGGTCTGGGCCGTGTGTAGAAGGGCAATGGTTATGTACTGTCCTGTCAGTTTCTGCTGTCAGAGCAGGAAAGGTATGTCCCCTGCAGAGACAGAAAGGGTCAGGGCCTTGGCCATCTTGCCATTTGCCTCCCCTTTCTCTCCTCTCTTCCAGTGGGGAGGGACAAGGGTACAATGTGGCCTCTCACTGTTCTAGGTGAGATGTCAGGAAGGGACAGGGAACCTGCAGACCATTCTCCGGGGCTCTGCCACTCCAGTTAAATGGTGTGGAGACACCCAGCTTCCTTTGCTGGCTTTCAGGAGGAACAGAATTCAGGCAGACAAGGATGTGGTCCTGTCTTATTATTTCAAACACTGTGGTCAGCCTTAGGGTCTTCCCCTCCAGCCCTGGACAGCAGCTGCCCCCAGCATTGGTGGGAGCCCTGGGAGAACTCACAAAAGAAAAGAAATGTATGGATGAATTCTGCTCAGAAGGATACCTGCATATCCTGTTGGGGAAATGTGACAGGAAAGGGTGGGACTCTCAGTGCGTACTGATTGGTGAGGAAAGACAATGCTTCCAGGATCCTGCCACCTGATCGGTGAGGAAAAACACTACCTGGCCAGTCCTAACACTGATTAGTGAGGAAAAGCATTGCCTGTGTCCTGCTTCATGATTGGTAAGAAAAGACACTGTCTAAGAGACCTGCTCTCTGATTGGTGAGCAAAAAGAATATGACCTGAAAGGTCCTGCCATGTGACTGGTGCAGAAAGGCATCTCTTGAAAGTCCCAGATATTTCCCCTCAGGTCTCTTTTTCCTGGTGCGGCTCCCTTAGGGGTTATGGGAACTTTGAATCCTCAGTTCCCCCACTGGATACTTCCTACCAAGGAAAGACTCTGAGATCTTGGTGGGAACCAGCTGTAAGAATTCCGATGCTCGCCGGGGGATGTATATCCTTGAGATCTTCAGACAGGGGTCTCTCCATCACCCACACCATGTTCGCTGCCTTGTCTTCCCAGGGCAGATGGTTTAAGGTAACGGTTCCTTTTGTGGAAGCATTGGGCTCCAGTATTTTGATCTCTAATGGTTTGCTCTCAGAGGCTTCCAAGATCTTGTAGGTGTGGAGCCACCCTCCGGCTCTGGCCTGAGGGTTGATCTCAGCAAGCCCCATCATAGCCCTCAGTGAAGTCTGCATTTCTTTGCTGTGTTTCAGATGCATTTCACAGGGGAACCGAGACAACTGGCAGTGGCTCTTGACTCACATAGGCAGTTGACCTGAGGGAGGTTGGGAATGGCATCTGGGCCCTCTTTACCCCTTGACTTCCCAGGACCTGGGAGGAGCCCCGGGCTGAGGGCTGAGGCCACCCATACATTGCTGGCAATTGGCTGACTCCCAACCTTGTTCACTTTAGAGCAGGGGTGGACCTAGACAAGAACAGCTTGGAGCAAGGGCATTAGATTCCAAACGTTATTATGCAGTCCCCCATTTGGGAAGTTTCATAGCAACAAATTTGTTGGGTTCTTTCTCCCCTCCCCTAGCTTAGAACCAACCCCAGGCTGGCAGGGCTACTGCATACAAAGGGCTGTAATAAACATGCCCAGGGAACAGGCGGCTGCACTCTCCCCCTATTCAGCGCAATTTCACAGCACTGAGAAGGCCTCATTATGGCATGGGCTGTTGTCCTATACAAAGTCAGTGAGATGAATTTCTCCCTTTTCTCTGCAGAATGGTTTGTGAATGATACTCCTCCTGGAATCTGTCAAAAGATAGGCGGTTTTGTTTACCATTTGTCTTCTTTATGGACTGGGGGGTGCTTTCTCTTTGGAGCCAGTAAAGAAGACATTGCCATTTAACCATTTCAGCCATGCCTCCATTTAAATTATATTAATTTATCATCTTCCCAAACCATCTGTGATGGATAAAGACATTCCAGGAGTCTCCCGTGAACTGAATTGCGATGAGAATTAAGAAATTAACCACCGCATCTAGCCTCCCTGCACAAAGGGCTTTCGTTCCACCTCACTGAGCAGCCTGTTCCTTTCACTCATTGCCCCGCTCCCCTCAAGTCTACAGTCAACGTGGCTGAATGCATGCTGCCAAGAAGGACCTGAGTCCTCCGAAGATGCAGGTGGTAATAGAACAGAGGGATGCAGTGGTCCTCACCTTCTTGACCACTGCACACTTGCTGCTCCCATCTCCCCCCTGTTTCTCCCAGCAGTTTTGTCAGGGGTTGAGGGGGAAGTGAGCTCCTCGGGCCACCTCCTATGGCTCCCTGCCCACTATGTGTGGTTTTCCGTGTCTTTCTCACTCTTGATTCTTGTCCTTCACTGTAGGGCATCCTCAGTACAGCAGGATCTTGATTAACATCCCTTTATTCAGCATCATTTTGTAATAATGTTGATGAGATGTCATAGGTACTTATATCAATTAGTCCATGGTAAAATTGATTTTGTTATATGTTATTTTGCTTAAAGTCACAGAGGCTATCGACAATGTCTCTGTCTTTGTCTTTAACTTGCGTGGAGATTCTCACCTATGGCTGTACTTTGGAAATTCGAAAATACTGACTCCTGGCTCCTGCCCCCAGAGATTCTGGTTTAATTCATGGGTCCAGGTGAGACCTGGGCACTGGGAACCTGAAAAGCTTCCCAGAGGAAATGTGTAGCCAAGGCTGAGAACCAGAGACGTGGGAGAATAAGAGATGAAGACAGTGAACTGTTCTTGTGTTGAGAGAGGTGGCCTGGGCCCCAGGGTTTGTTTTTCTGAGGGGAGAGACTTATTATCAATGAATTTAAATCTTTTTTTATGACTCTCGATGAAAATTGGGTGGAGTGGGTGTGTGTTTCAAATTTTTAAAAATGTCTATCTTGCTAGGTAGGGCTGGAAGCTTAGCTAGTGCAGCCTGATGGTCCAGTGTCCAGGTGAAAGCATGGGATGGGATGGACATCACTGCTAGATTGTGTGTGTGTGTGTGTGTGTGTGTGTGTGTGTGTGTGTGTGTGTGTGTGGATCT